TATTCTTTAGAAGTAATAATATTCAACAGCAACAACAACAATAAGAACAACAGCAGCAGCAGTAGCAACAACAACAACTACAACAATAACAACAATAACAACAATACCAACAATAACAACAACACCAACAACAACAACAACAACAACGACAACAACAACCACAACAACAACAACAACAACAACAACAATAACAACAACAACCACAACCACAACCACAACCACAACCACAACCACAACCACAACAACAACAACAACAACAACGACAACGACAACGACAACGACAACGACAACGACAACGACAACGACAACGACGATGACGACGACGACGACAACAACAACAAGAAACAACCGCGCGTGAGTGCCCCGTGGTCCTGGACCTCATTCCCCGCGTTCTTCACTAAGGCGGAACCGCGCGTCTGTGCCCCATTGGCTGGTTCGGACCCCCCCCCAGCAAGCAGCAACCAGCAACCAGCAACCTGGGGTGTATGGACTCATCCTTCATGCCATTTTGCCGTGTCTGCACCAGCGAAGCTCCGGAATCCACGGAGTCCTATCGGATCCTTAAGGGTGGATCCAACTCTAAAAGAGTCCTATTACTGGTGGATCCACCTATACTACAATCCTATCAGAGGTGGATCCACGTGTACTACAATCCTAGTGGTGGTGGATCCACCTCTACTACGAACCTATCAATGGTGGATCCAACTCTGATGGAATCCTATTAATGGTAGATCCAGCTCCGATAGAATCCTATTAGTGATGGATCCAGCTCTGACAGGATCCTATTAGGAGTGGACCCAACTCTAAAAGAATCCGTTTAGGATTGGATCCACCTCTACTAGAATCCGATTAGGAAGGATTCAGCTCTAATAGAGTCCTATTAGGAGTGGATCCACCTCGAAAAAAACCCGATTAGGAGTGGATCCAGCTCTTATAAGATCCGATTGGGAGTGGACCCAGCTCTAATATAATCCTATTAAGGGTGGTTCCAGCTCTAATAGAATCCTATTGGGAGCGGATCCAGCTCTTCCTCCCTCTTATTACTGGTAGCGATGGACCCAGCTCTGACAGAATCGTATTAAGAACGGATCCAGCTCTAATAGAATCATGTCCGGAATGGATCCAGCTCTATTAGAAACCTGTTAGTGCTGGGTCCAGCTCACACGGAATCCTGCTTGGGGTGACCCAGCTCTAATGAAATCCTAACAGATCTGGATCCAGCTCTACGAATACCCAATTAGCGATGGATCTACCTCTAATAGAATCCGATGAGTGATGAATCGAGAGGTGTGTGCCCAAATGAAGCGTCGGTGGAGCTCCCTGTGGAGCCAAACCCAAGATCATCGAGAGGGGTGTGCTGAAATGAAGCGTCGGAGGAGCTCCCTGTGGGGGGCAGGGCCACGATCATCGAGATATGTGTTCCGAAATGAAGCTTCGGTTAAGCTCCCTGTGGGGCCAGGGCCACGATCCTCGCGAGGAATGTACCGAAATGAAACTTCGGATGAACTCCCTGTGGCGCCAGGGCCACGATCCTCGAAAGGGGTGTGCCGAAATGTTGTTTCGCTGGAGGTCCCTGTGGGGCCAGGGCCACGATCATCGAGGGGTGTGTTCCGAAATCAGATTCGGTGGAGCTCCCTGTGGGGCCAGGGCCACGATCCTCGAAAGGGGTGTGCCAAAATAAAGCTTCGGCGGAGCTCCCTGCGGAGCGATAGCCGCGATCCTCGATAAGGGTGTGCCGACATGAAGCTTGGGACGAGCTCCCTGTTGGGCCAGCGAGCTCCCTGTGTGGCCAAGGACGCGATCCTCAAGATGGGTGTGCCGAAATGAAACTTCGTTGGCGTTCCTTGTGGGGCCAGGGCCAAGATCCTCGAGAGGGTTTTGCCGAAATGAAGCTTCGGTGGAGCTCCCTGTGGGGCCAGGGCCACGATCCTCGAAAGGTGTGTGCCGAAATTAAGCTTCGGCAGGGCTCCCTGTGGGGCCAGGGCCACGATCCTCGAGAGGTGTCCGCCGAAATGAAGCGTCGGTGGGGTTCCTGTGGGGCCAGGGCCGCGATCCTCGAGAGAGGTGTTCCGAAATGTAGCTTCGGTTAAGCTCCCTGTGGGGCCAGGGCCACGATCCTCTAGAGGGGTGTGCCGAAATGAAACTTCGGATGAACTCCCTGTGGTGCCAGGGCCACGATCCTCAATAGGGGTGTGCCGAAATGTTGTTTCGCTGGAGGTCCCTGTGGGGCCAGGGCCACGATCATCGAGAGGTGTGTTCCGAAATCAGATTCGGTGGAGCTCCCTGTGGGGCCAGGGCCACGATCCTCGAAAGGGGTGTGCCGAAATAAAGCTTCGGCGGAGCTCCCTGCGGAGCCATAGCCGCGATCCTTGATAAGGGTGTGCCGACATGAAGCTTGGGACGAGCTCCCTGTGGGGCAGGGCCGAGATCCTCGAGAGGGGTGTGCCGAAATGAAGCTTCGTTGGGGCTCCCTGTGGGACCAGGGCCACGATCCTCGAGCGGGGTGTGCCGAAATGAAGCTTCAGTGGAGTTCCCTGTGGGGCCAAAGCCACGATCCTCGAGAGGGGTGCGCCGAAATGAAGCATCGGTGGATCTCCCTGTGGGGCCAGGGCCACGATCCTTGAGAGAAGTGTGCCGAAATCGGGCTTCGGTGCAGCTCCCTGTGGGTCCAGGGCCACGATCCTCGATAGATGCGTGCTAGAATGAAGCTTCGGAGGAGCTCCCTGTGGCGCCAGGGCCGAAATGAAACTTCGGTGGAGCTACATGTCGGACCAGGGCCGCGATCCTCGAGAGAGGTGTTCCGAAATGTAGCTTCGGTTAAGCTCCCTGTGGGGCCAGGGCCACGATCCTCGAGAGGGATGTACCGAAGTGATGCTTCGGTGGAGCTCCCTGTGGGGCCAGGGCCGAGATCCTCAGGAGGGGTGTGCCGAATTGAAGCTTGGGACGAGCTCCCTGTGGGTCCAGGGCCACGATCCTCCAAAGGGGTGTGCCGAAATGATTCTTCGGTGGAGCTCCCTGTGGGGCCAGGGCCACGATCCTCGAGAGGGGTGTGCCGAAATAAAGCTCTGGTGGGGTGCCCGGTGGGGCCAAAGCAACAATCCCGTGGGGAGGTCCACCGAAAAGAAGCTTCGGTGGGCCTCCCTAAAAGATTGTTGCTGGTTGCTGGTTGCTGGGGGGGGCCGGGGCCCCAACCCTCGTTTGTTCCAACAACAACAGCAACAACAACAACAACAACATCAACAACATCCACAATAATAACACCACCAACAACAACACCAACAACACCAACAACACCAACGACAGCAACAGCAACAATAACAACAACTACAACAACACCACCACCAACAACGACACCAACAACACCAGCAGCACCAACAAGAACAACAAACACAACAACCACAACAGCAACAACAACAACACCAACAACAACAACAACAACAACGACGACAACAACACCACCAACAACCTCAACAACAACAACCACAACAACAACCACCACCACCACCACAACAACCACAACCACAACCACAACCACATCATCAACAACAAAATCAACAACACCACCACCACCAACAACAACAACACCACCAACAACAACAACAACAACAACAACAACAACAACAACAACAACACCAACAACAACAACAACAACAACAACAACACCATCAACAACAACAACAAAACAACAATAACAACAACAACTGTGTGTCCGTGGATTCGAACGGGAAAATCAGGGAGACCAAAAGGTACCAAAATGCACCGATACCAGTACTCCCCGGACCTCTCCCGGGGAGTTCGTTCTGACCAGAGGCGAATCCAGCGGTGGCGACGAGGGCCTCCCAGGAGGCCAACAAAAAGAGGGGAACACGAGGGACGGGCAGTGGTATGGTTTTCTTTCTCCTCCCCCGAAAACTCAGTCCCTCCCCCTCCCCCTCCCCCTCCCCCTCCTCCTCCTCCTCCTCCTCCTCCTCCTCCTCCTCCTCCTCCTCATCCTCCTCCTCCTCCTCCTCCTCCTCCTCCTCCTCCTCCTCCTCCTCCTCCCCCTCTCCTCCTCCTCCTCCTCCTCCTCCCCTCCTCTCCTCCTCCTCCTCCTCCTCCTCCTCCTCCTCCTCCTCCTCCCTACTCCTCCTATTCCTCCCCTCTCCCTCTCCCCAACTCCTCCTCCTCTCTCCTCCTCCTCCTCCTCCTCATCCTCCTCCTCCTGCTCCCTCCTCCGCCTCCTCCTCCTCCTCCTCCTCCTTCCTCCTCTCTTCCTCCCCCTCCCCCTCCTCCTCTCCTCCTCCTCCCCCTCCGCCTCCTCCTCCTCCTCCTCCTCCTCCTCCTCCCTCCTCCTCCTCCTCCTCCTGCTCCGCCTCCCCTCCTCCTCCTCCTCCTCCTCCGCCTCCTCCTCCTCTCCTCCTCCTCCTCCTCCCCTCCTCCTCCGTCCTCCGCCTCCTACTCCTCATCCTCCCTCCTCCTCCCCCCCTCCTCCTCCTCCTCCTCCTCCTCCTCCTCCTCCCCTCCTCCTCCTCCTCCTCCTCCTCCTCCTCACTACCTCCCTCCTCTTCCTCTCCTCCTCCGCCTCCTCCTCCTCCTCTCCCCTCCTCCTCCTCATCCTCCTCCCTCCTCCTCCTCCGGCTCCTTTCCTCCTCCTCCCCCCCCCCCTCCTCCTCCTCCTCCTCTCCGCCTCCTCCTCTCCTTCCTCCACCTCCTCTCCTTCCCTCCTCCTCCTCCTCCTCCTTCTCCTCCTCCTTCTCCTCCTCCTCCTCCTCTTCTCCCCCACCTTCTCCGCCTCCTCCCCTCCTCCTCCTTCCTACCTCCCCCTCCGCCTCCGCCTCCTCCTCCTCCTCCTCCTCCTCTCCGCCTCCTATCCTCCTCTTCTCTTCCTCCTCCTCCTCCTCCTCCTCCTCCTCCTCCTCCTCCTCCTCCTCCTCCTCCTCCTCCTCCTCCTCCTCCTCCCCCGAACAGCGACTCTGTGGTCGATCTCCCATACCCAAGAGCGCAGGGAGCGACGGCGCCGCCTGCGCCACGTGGCGCAGCGCCTGGCCGCGCGCCGCCACGGCCGCGAGCGCCACGCCGCGGTCGGCGCGCAGGCGCGCGTCGGCGTGCGCGAGCGAGGAGCCGCAGCTGCGCACGGCAGCGAGCACCACCTGCGGAGGGGGGCGTGCTGCGAAGGGCAGAATGACCACCCCCAGAATGATCACCCCAGAATGATCACCCCAGAATATCAACGCCCAGAATATCCCTCCCCAGAATATCCACCTTTGAGAGGGCAGGATATCCACCCCTGGAAGGATCACTCCAGGATGGCATGCGCATTTCATTTTCGGCGATCATGGGCATCATAGGAGGGGGGGGAGGGGCCAGGGGGGGGGGTATAGTGTAACGCCTCCCCCCGCCGTGCGTTCGGCGGCATGCCCGGAGCGCAGTGGGGGGGAGGGGCGTTACGTTATAGGGGGGGGGGGGGAGAGGGGGTGGAGGGGGGGGGGGGCGGGGCTATGATGCCCATTATGCCCCAAGCAACGAAGAAACACGCTCCAGAATGATTACCCCATGATGAGCAAACGCACCCAAAGAAGGAATCAAGCAGGGCAGGGTTGTTTACTACACGCCCAGTGCTGTCTGGTAAACGCCAATTGTCGGGTCCCGGAGGTCTTTCCTCCCTTGATGTCGTTTCACTCCGGCACGTTTACTTGTATGGACGGCGTATGGGGGGGGTGGGGCTGAACCGGAAGCAAGCCGCAAACGACTTGACGTGCGGGAATCATGCAGGTCGAAATGCACTTTCATGCTAGTGTTCGTCTGAGGAGGGGGCGACGGAGGGGGGGGGGGGGGGGGCGAACGCCATGCAAGTAATCTTACCTGAATTTAAAAAAGAGGCTCCAGAATAAGAAGGATGTTGGAAGATACAGAAGCAATAAAACAGTTATTCAAACATTAGCCCAACAAAAAACACGAGGGATCTTCACCAGGCTATCTTCTCCAACATTCTGGACTAGACCTCCTGTACAGGGGCATGCCCGACTTAATCTAATGCCAGAAGCGTCCCTGGCCCCAGGTGCGCGACGAGGAGAAGGAGGAGGAGGAGGAGGAGGAGGAGGAGGAGGAGGAGGAAAGAGGAGGAAGGAGGAGGAAAGGGGGGAAGGGGGGAGGGGGAGGGAGGAAGGAGGAGGAGGAGGAGAGGAGGAGGAGGAGGAGAGGAGGAGGAGGAAGGAGGGAGGAGGAGGAGGAGGAGGAGGAGGACGCCGCGACACCGTCCGTGGTGGCTCGCGCGGGCCGCACATTCGCGCCGCGCCGCGCGGGAGACGCGCGCGCCGACGCGCGACCCCACGCGGGCAGCTCACGCGCTTTTCTGCGTCGCTCGGGTGTGCCCCTCCTCCTCCCCTCCTCCTCCTCCTCATCCTCCTCCTTCCCTCCCCCCTCCTCCTCCTCCTCCTCCTCCTCCTCCTCCCCCCCCTTCTTTCTCCTCCTCCTCCTCCTCCCCCTCCCTCCTCCGCTCCTCCTCCCTCCTACTCCTCTCCCTCCTCCTCCCTTCCTCCCCTCCTCCTCCACCGTCCTTCTCCTCCTCCTCCTCCTCCCCCTCCTCCTCCTCCTCCTCCTCCTCCGCTCCTCCTCCTCCTCCTCCTCCTCCTCCTCCTCCTCCTCAGCTGTCGGCGCAGACGGCCCCGCTTTGCTGCGTCGCTCGGGTGCCCCCAGGATTCCCGAGCCCCTGCACGGCCTCCCGGGCACCAATCACGGGGCCCAGAAGGGCCCCAGGGGGGCTCCAGGATGGAGCGAGAAGCCGGGGGCTCCTTGGGTTAGGTCGGGCATGTCCTCCTATAGACGGTTTTTGAAAGACAAGCACATACAAAAAACGCTTGCTGAACTAAACCAACAATTGTCGAACACATCGTCCCCAGACTGTTGCTTGACTATGTTTGGATACTCCTCCTTTCGAGGGACATGCCCGACTCAAACCTTGGGCCATGGATACCTTCGGCAGCCCCCGACGGGAGGAGGAACACCGTGGGCTCCCAAGGCCGCGCGGTGCAAGACCGCACGGCGGCCTCGCAAACTCCCAAGAGGCCTCACCGCGCGGTCCGTCACCGCGCGGCTTCGGGACCCGTGGAGGCCTCACTCGCCCGACACGCCTTCGGGGAACGGCCCGAGTCCCCAAAGGCGTGCGGCGACCCCGAATCCCAGCGGACTGACCGCGCGGTGTGGCCACCACACCGTCCGGGGGGCCCCCGACACATCCCGAGTAAAAAGCGGCGCACACACACACAATCACAATCACAATCACAATCACAATCGCAATCACAATCACAATCACAATCACAATCACAATCACAATCACGCACGCGCACGCGCGCGCGCGCACACAGACACGCATAGACTGGCGGAGCTCTGCGCGGATGTCTCGGATCGGCGCCGGACCTCCCTCCCAAGTCGCCCAGCTTCGCGAACCGCCCCGCGCGATGCTGGACGCGCGGATCTGTTCGCGCCCTCGCGCCGCGCCCCCCCTGAAGAAGGGCGGCCGCTCCGGCCCGGACCGGGCTGCGCACGGCGGCGGACACCACCGCAGAGAAGGAGCAGGTACCGACGCAGCCACCCCGTGGCCTTGTGCTCGCCTTCCTCGGCCTCCTGGAAAGCCCTCGTCGCCACGGCTGCACTCGCCTCGCGGTCTGGGGAGTAGTCGCAAAGGCATGAGCTTTCTGGGGTCGGCGCGGATTCTTGGATCGGCGCTGGACCACCGTCCCTGTCGCGCGGAGCGCACACCGGGGGCATCGCAGGAGGAGCCGCCAAAGGGCTCCAGAGCAGACCCTGAGCATATCCAAAAACTGTGCCTCTTTCCCAAGCCGCCGACGTCATGACATTTTCATGTCGTGACTCCAAGAGGTCTCGGCCCCATCCCCTGGACTAGCGTTTCATCCAGAGTCTTCTTTGCTTTACGGCCGTGAGGCCCAGTGCGGGTCCCTGGAGGCCGAAAACGGCCAAGCATGACCTGTCGTGTTTCTTTATGGCACGAGCCTGTCGGGGCTTACGCCGTCTTTACAAGCTCGACAGACCGTGTTCTCTTAGCGCTGCTGGCTTTCGGGCCAAGGCTCGGGTGTCCAACGGCCGTTCGGGACGTTTCGGGCAACAGACGGCGTCCCGAGGCTGCAAATGGGGAAACGAACTCTATATACACCGACGCTTTTTCCGACCCCGCGCTGACATTCGCATTGGAACGCGGATCCTGGTGTATGCGGGATCCTGGTGTATACATTTTTCGTTGTTTCCGTTGGAAAACGGGGCAAAAGTATAAACCACACCACCCCGACGTCGTCACCGACCCTCAAAAAGTCGTGGGAGATAAAAAAACAACCCGCTGCTGGCAATGTATATGTTCAAGTTTCCGAGCAAATGCCGCCGGGAACTGACGAACCACGACACCGCGAACCTCGAAAGCCGAAACCTCGTGCCCCCGAAACCGCCCAGAAACCGCCCAGAAACCTCGAGCGTCCGAAAGCCTGCATGCCGCTGTTCCTGCATGGGCGCCTCGCGGTCGCCGCGCAGCTCGGGCGCGACGTACGGCAGCGACAGCCCGTCCACCCCGACCGCCGCAAGGGCGACCTTCGGGGGCGTCCAGCGAGGGGGCGTACAAGAGGGGGGGGTCACAAATCGTGGCCCGGGACACGTCCGCGACCCCGGTGGAGCCAGGAGACGGATTGACAGAGGGCCAGAAGACGGGGGGGCCATGATTTCTGGTAGATATCATGGCCCCCGCCATTGGATGCCCCTCCCCCTGCAAGGATGTGCGCGGGGGGTGCTCAGGGGGTAGGAGGGGTTACCAGTAGATACCAAGGTGGGTTACACCTGACCCTAGCTTACAAAGAGAATTGCAGAAATGTCCCAAGTGGCTTCGGGGGGCCACCGATCCACGCCAAGTGGGCTCCTCCTACTTAGCGAAGCAGTCTAACTCCTCTACGCCACCTGGGATACCCCTTGACCCACTAAGAAGCTAGGTTGGGCCAGACACAACCCGCCTTGGCATCCATTGATACTGCCCCTGTGCCCTTGGCAACCCCCGAAATCTCCCAGACACCCGGCTGCTCCAATTCTTTCGATGCGTGGGCCCCGGCGATCTGGACCACTTCTGATGGGAAACTGGGACACACAAATGAATATACACACACACACATAAATAACCCGATTCCCCATAATTTTTCCAGATTTTCTGGGTTTCTGTCTTCCCCCCCACCTCCCATATTTTCCTGTATTTTCCTGGGCAATCGTCGATCAATGTTTTCCCTCCTGAACTTCCCAGGGGCAATTTTTTTCGTCCTGAGTCGTCCTGTGGCGCTCCCGGAGCCCGGCGGGGGGCTCCATGGGAGGCCGAACAACCGCGGACAAACACCGCCCGCCCCAGTTTCAAGGGGCCCTGGGACACACAAATAAATGCACACAAATAACAGGATCCCCCATCTTCTCCCATACCTTCTGGGTTTCTGTCGCCCCCCCCGCTTCCCCTGGTTTCCCACATCTCCCTGGGAATCGACGATACATTGTACCTGTGTGTGTGTGTGTGTGTGTGTGTGTTTTGTTCCCTCCTTCCGGTTGTTCTGGAGAGCCGCACCTCTGGGACCCTCACCGCCCTCGTCGGCCGCCCCCCGAGACCTCCCGGTCGGCCCGGAGCTCGGGCGCCGCGAACTGCAGCGCGGCGCCCCAGCGCCGCACGGCCGCCAGCACCACCTGCCGGTCCCCCCGCAGCCTTGCTTGGGGGGGGGGGCCACAACACGGAGCACGGCCCGCAGGAGATCCCGCGGCACGCCTGCGGTCGCGAGCTCTCTGGCGTGCAGCCAGCCCGCGCATAGGAAGGCTGCGCGATGGGGAGGCAGGGGCCTCGGACGCCCACTTTGGACGCCTTTCGAGCGGGGCGCGGCCAACGAAAGCAGCGGCCAAGGATGGGCCGAAGGGGCGCAGATGCAAGGGTACCCTTGGGAAGGCTGCCCGTTCCTTCTTATGCGGGTGGACGGTGTAGCGTGTCGCGGCCACGTGATTGCCGGCCCCTGCCCGTCCCCCCGAGTCTGGCCGCGAGTGACTATCCTACGAGAAGGGCAGGAGGCGCCCTACACAATCCGCCTGGAAAGACATCAGATCCTTGACCTTCACGAGCAGAGTGCAGGACCGCGAGGCGAGAGGTCACGTCACCAGCGTGCTTGGGGACCTCTGGGGGCTCCCTCGGATTCGGACCCCCCCTCCCTCGCGGCCGCTCTCGCCCTGCCTCTCCCCCCTCCTGCCGCCGAGAAACTGTGCGCTCCCCGCCTGCTCCTCCTCCTTCTCCTCCTTCTCCTCCTCCTCCTCCTCCTCCTCCTCCTCCTCCTCCTCCTCCTCCTCCCTCCCCCCTCCCCTCCTCTCTCCCCCTCCTCCTCCTCCTCCCTCCTCCTCCTCCTCCTCCTCCTCCTCCTCCTCCTCCTCCTCCTCCCCCTCCTCCTCCTCCTCCTCCTCCTCCTCCTCCTCCTCCTCCTCCTCCTCCTCCTCCTCCTCCTCCTCCTCCTCCTCCCGTTCTGTTCCCAACGCATGGGGCGGGTCGCCGCGCGGTTCGGGAAGAGCCCGACCGCACCCCGATGCGGGTGCCACGGCACCCACGGCAGAGCGCGCCAGGCGGGCCAGCTGTACGGCCAGCAGCGGCGGCGGCAAGCGGCGGCCACTCGCGGGCAGTTCGCTCGGCGAGGGGATACGAGGAGGAAATCGAATCGATCGAGGTCGTGATCCAAGGAAAGAGAAGGGAGGAAATGGCCCCCGGAGGCTAGGGGTGTGCCATGGCACTGGACTCGGTAGTGTGGCCTGTCGCTACCGACTCCGCCTCGCATAGCTCTCGCGGTGCGGCATGCTACGCCCTCCGTTCGGAGGCAACCTTTAGTCCTGGGGGGGGTATGGGTCGAGGGGCCAAAATTCAGCCCAGTCGGGTCCAGGGACGTTTGGCTCCCTGGACCAACAGTGTCTCCCCCCCCAGGACCTAACTATACATTCAGCTATGCTTCTCTCCGGCCTGGCCTGGCATGCGTCGCCTACTCCCGACACGTTTGCCATCAGGAGTGTGCGCCCTGGCCGTGCTCTAAAGCTACGCATCACTTCCCTGGGCTCCAGCATTTGGCAGGCCGCCAGATCCCGAAGCTCTTTTACCTCGGGCGTGTTCGTGATATGCGTCATGATCTCGAGGATCATGGGGATGCCCTGCAGCGCGGCGTGGCCTGCCATCAATATCCCATTTCGTATCTTGTCGTTCTCCTCGATGATCGTCGTTCGTCTCCTCAAGGTAGTGGCCGTCCGTGTTCCCCATGGGTTGTCGTCGTCCCTGCACTCCGCCGTTTGTGTGCCCGTCGGTGTTGCGATGATTACTGCTGCCACTATGCCTGTGTCGATGTTGTCTCTCCACTTGGCAACCATCTCCTCCTTCAGCTGGGTGCAGGCCATGCCTATCATGCTGCAGTCGTCCTCCGTGTTTGCTGCTCTGCTGATCTCCTGCATCATGGCGTCCACGTAGTCCCCTTGCCGAGGTAGCGTAGAGTAAGTACTGTTGGTTCTGGTTCGCCATGTCAGGGATCCCCGTAATTCTCTCAATCCATTCTGCTCTCAGTTGAATTCGAGGTGCCACTATGTCATCGCTTTCTTGACTTGTTCCAGCTTCATCCTCGTGATATTTCTGGTCGCCGCTGTCCTCTGCCCTGTCCACTTTCGTGCATGGTACCAATGCTCTCTCAGGTCTGTATCCACGTTGTTTCAATCTTTTTGTATCCTCAATATCCCTGTCATACATTTCCCAAGCCTCGTCGTACTGCATGGGCTGCTGCATTTTTTGTACCATCTGAGGCATCCTCTGCACCTGTGCCGCACATGTATAATCAATATTGGTCTTGTTTGGAAATCCTTTCCGCATGACTGACACGTTGAGCTGGTGGCGTATCTCTGCGCTGAATCTATGGGCATGTGCTTATTTCTGTCGTTTCCACGCCCCAATATCCGCTGTTGTGAAACCACATTCATAACATATTTACTGTGCATCATATTCCAGTTCTTTCCATTGTTTGACTGCCATCTGCATCAGTAGTGTCTGCCAGTTTCGTTTCCATTTGTCGCTGTTCGCTTCGTCCGCGCCCTTGTCCATCTGCTTTTTTTCCATGCTTCTCTGCATCTTCTGTCGTATTGTCTACCCTCGTTTTTGATCATTAGTATCCATTCCTTGTTCCTTTTCTTTGTTCCGTGTCCTTGTCAGTATGATCTGCCAGCAATTCTAGATCTTCCTCTATCAGGGATGTCCAAGTTCTCTTTTCTCGTAATAGTGTCCAACTCGTCGAGCGCACGTCTTAGAATCAATGGGCCGCTTGTGATGATTGCCTTCAAGAATCGTAGCCGCCTGTATCTGAATAGTATTGCCAGATTCCCAGTCTTTGCCTTGGCATACAGCTCCTTGTCTGTTATCGGCTCCGTCGTGCGTGCTTCTTTCGGTCTGGTCTTTTGTCCCAATGCTTGTCTAATACCTTTTCCAGATGCTGTCTCTGCGATTTTTTGACCATCTTGGGCATCGGCGGCCATGTTTCGCTTTGCCATAATAACTTGCGGTTCGCAGAACTCTTCGTGTACTTTAGTTTGTCCTTCGCCGTGGTCTTCGGGTTCGTGCATATCGTTTTCAGGTTCTTCATCTCCTGCTTGTGGCATATAGCACGCTTCTGTATCTCTGGCTGCCATGTGTTGTCCGCAGTTAGCTCCACTCCGAGATGTTTGTGCGCTGCCACCACTGTCGCTGACTCGTTTATGCTTTCAATGTCGATATTGACTCCTCCTTCTTTGTTGTATTTCCGCTTTGCATCCATCAAGTTTGGCCCTGCCAGGTGTAGCGTCGCCGCCGCTTTCCCAGGTTTGTAGTTAAGCTCGAAGCCGTACTTTGCCATTGTGATATGAATCTTCTATCTTCTGATTGTCCGCGACCACAGTAGGTATTGCCGTGTCATCGACGTAGCTGACGTCCGTGATCTCCGTGGTCGTGTCCCCTTCGTCTGTGTATATGCGTTCTACTTCGTGTGCAACGTTATGCAGTACCCCCATTTCCCTCATGTGCTCGCTGATCTCGTCCAATGGCTTCCTATATATGACATTGAAGAAGAAATCGGCAATTGAATTGCCTGCCCTGGCCCCTCGCTTTGCTTCCGCCGCCAAGTCCGTTGTCGGTAAATAATACCATGTTACCCTTGCCGGCTCTGATAGCATTGCCCATAGCGGTGCTGGTGCGTGTGGTCCTTGTACGGCTGGTGGTGCTGCTAGTGCTATCTCCAGTAGCGGTCGAAATTGCTGCGGCATCGTACTTCTCTGCAATATTTCTTCTATGTCCTCCTCGGAGTGATCCATTGCAACCCCCATTGAGCGAATAATCATATACCAAATCCACATATATCATCAATGTTGACTTGCCTTTCTTTGCAATGAGTGATATCGCTGTCCTGATGAGGTGTCCAGCCATTGGCGCTCCCATTCCCTTTCTTCCTCCAACTTGCGTATCTCTAATCATGTGGTGTAGTATATTTCCCAGCGCCGACCTCAACCACTTATGATAGTGTTTCCCCACCACATTATTCAAACATATGTTTCTGACATGTTCCCACTTCCAATTAGAAGGTCCTGACTTTGGTATCCCGCACAGCGTGGCCTCCTTGAACGCAATGTGTTCTTGTAGGTATAGCGCCGTTTTGAGGTATACTGGGTACCACCATCTTGCTGAAGACTTCGCTGTAGCTCTTAGTACGTCGTCCAGTATGTTGTCTGGTCCAGCCGCCCGCCTTCTCTTAGCTGTCTTGTAGCTCCGCTGTATCTCATATCTGGTAGGGACGGTCTCGATGTCCTGCATGGAGGTCTCCGCGTAGTCGTTCTTTCTTTTGTTGTATAGTTCCTCCACCTCTGTTTTGCTCATGATGTCCGCGTCCTCGGCTTTCGCAAAGTGCCTCAGCATTGCCTCATCCGCTTCTTCTTGCGTTTGAGCTGGTTCTCCATTGGCGTTTTCTCTAAGTGGTAGTCGTCCTCCCCCAGCGAACCTCTTATTTTTCCTGCCACTCATCTTGAGAATCATGTCCACCTTGCCCCACTCCTTCCCGTGTTTATTCTGCTGGATGTAGTCCACGATCTCGGCTGCAGCGTCGCTGATGAGCTTGGCCTTGGCCTCTCTGAGTGCCTTCCTGAGGTGTTTCTTGGTATCCTTGAGGAACTCTTTTGCTCTCCATGCCATCCTGTCAAGTTCTATTCTTCCCGCGTTGTACGCGTCGATGGCCAGCTGCAGGTTGTCCGTGTCCGCCCTCCACTCTGATCCTTCTGGTGCCAACTCATCGATTTGTTCTGGGAGATGTCGTCGTAGCAGTGTGAAGGGTCAGTTTTTCTTTGTAAAGTATCTCTTCGTTGCGAAAGTACGCGTCGTCTCAATCTCACCAGTCCCATTGTTGTCCGCGAGATGTACGGTTTGATTGCCGTTTTCTTATCTTCTGCAAAATACTTTTCTGATAGCTGTCTGTATTAGTCCGTAACAAAATCGCAGTGCTCGTTGACCCCCACCTCCCAGTATGGTATCATCGTAGCATCCAATTTCATCTGGAAGCCTCGAAGTAGATCCTCTTGCTCCAGCTTCCTGACGTCTATCCTTTTTCTTCTGGCCTTCCTTTCTGATCGTTTGCCTTCTGCAGGTATCTCCAGTGCCACTGGTATGTGATCTGGGTGTTTGGTGCCGTTGTCCCGGTCTGTCAGTGCTGCAGCGCTGGTTACCGAGTTAATAAGATGTCGCCCCAATAGTACGTGGTCGATCTGCTTCAGGGTCGTCTTCCACTCGTTCGGCTAGTTCTTTTTGTCGGGCCTGTATATGTATACGCACGTGTATCTGTCCTCCAAGTCGTAGTGCGCGGCGACCGCAGTGAGGTCGTTCTCGTTTGCATATTTTAGTAATTATGCGCCCTTCTCGTCCGTCTTCTCCGCTCAAAATTTGCCAACGATGTGCTCGTATCCGTCACTTTGCGTTATCTCCCCGTTGGCGTCCATGAATACGATCGTGCACTTGAACTTGTCCTGCAGTCGCCTGGTCTTCCTCCAACATTCTGGACGCTCCTTCTTCTTGTGGTCGTGGTGTGGTGTGTGGAATACTCCTATTACCTCTTCTATCAGCGGGGCCTTGAGCCGCACGGTGTATCTTCTTGAGTCTGCATGCAATTGACGAAGATATGAGATCTGCAAGTATTTGACTCCTGATCTTGTGCATGCGTTCGGCTCGGCCGTGTTGAACAATAACCCACAGCCCAGCTTTCCACCGTCATGTCCACCTGATAGTAGTATACATCCATCCATTCGTGTTGTTCCAGGTGGTTGTCTGGTTTCGTGTATGTCCAATCTATGTATTCCATGTTGTATCATATGTGGCCGTGTAAGTCTGTCTCCCTCTGAAGGGCTGCCTGCTTACGCGGTCGTGTACATCATTGTGTCCGTCTTCCCCCATCGTCATTGCGCTGTATGTGCCGATCTTGAGCTCGAACGCCGTGTTCTTGTGTACTCCATGCCCGGTCTTCTTCTCGTTGGTATATGTCTGCTCGGGTTCCTTCCCCATTGCCCACTCTGGTTCTGCTCGTGGCCTATCAGTCCTTTGTTGTTCGTACTCAAATTCCCATCCATTATTTTCCATCGCCGTCTCGTTCGCCGCGTTGATGTTCGGGAACGCCCTCTTGTCTGAGTATTGTGTATCCGTGAGTACTTTCCATTCGTCGTCTCTTTTGTAAGTGGGCATGTCAATGATGTCGTCCACATCCACTGGTATATCTGGTCCCTCCATGGTTGTATTCTTTGCTATCGGGCCTGCCAATTCATTCCATGGATGTCCGTCGCGGGCCTTCACGTAGTGGTCGGTAACTTTCATCCTTCTTCCCACTTCTTCCGCTGTCAGCGCCGTCAGCCGCGATAGTTCGTAATCCGTGGCGATAGCCAGGGTACCATCCGCTGCTGCCCGTGCCGCTTCGCGATCCGCATGTATGTGTACCTCGTATTCTCTGTAGTTTGCGTAAGCTGCCACGTATGCCCACAGTAGAGCCGTGAGCTCGCCTGCGTTGTGGTTTGCTGATCCGTCTTGCTTTGTCCGCGCGCTTCCCTTTGCCTTGCCTGTCAAATACCCCAAGAAGCTGAATCCATCCACTGTTTGCTTGGTAATGACGATGGACCGCGACGTATCCTCTGGCTTCGTGTCGTAGTAGCCCCCACCTGTGTGTATGTGGATGATCTTCGGCTGCGTCTCGCTCTTCAAGCACATCCGCATGGCCAGCTCCGCAAATTCGCGCAGTTTCATGCCGTTTGTGTCTGTCCTTATTTCTAGCGGTTGCCGCCGACGAAGGCATTATGCGAGCATCTCCTCTGGCTGGATCTCGCACTGTACCATCCATGCCCCTGGTGCATGGTCTGGTCATTCTTTTTGTTCACTGTGCTGATGATCTCGGAGATGCGGCTCCCCCCGTTGGTCTTTTTTTGTCTTCATGTGGGCCAACTCGGTCCCTTCCTTCTCCTGAATATAGCTTGTTTGTGTCCTCCGCGTCGCCATTCTTGTTCCCCTCGCCATCGCCATCGAGCCCCTTCCTAGTACTTGATCTATCTACGTCGAGGTCCAACTGCCTCTGTGTCCTGACTATTGCAGGCCGCCTCGGTGTCCTCGTCTGGTCGGGTCTGCTGTCGCGTCCTTCGCGTAGGTTGCCCACCGTGGTCGCGTCGCCGTTGTCCACGCCATGGGGCCGAGTCGTTGTGTCCTGGAGGTCGTCGATTCTGGTGCAGCACCCATGGCCCCCAGCCTCGTTGCATTCAACTTCTTTGAATGAATTCTTGTCAAAAATGTCTGCCGCCTTTGAATTCGGTACCAATATTCTTGCATCTCCTTGGTGGGCAGCTCGCTGCCGTCGAAGTAGCTGGCGATGTCGAGCTCGGGCATGCCGCCGCTCTTGTTCGCTGCCTTTCACGGTGCCAGTCTGAGCTTGCTCACCATTTTGCCCCCTATTGGGGGCCTCCGTCTGTCTGTGTTGCCCCCGACCCCCCCGTCCATGATTGAGGAGGTCGGGGGCGGGCCCTGAAAGCCCACCTCTTGGGCAAGTCCTCGCCGCCTTCTTCGTCGCCGTTTGTCTTCTGCCTTGCAGGTCCTCTCGCCGCGCTCTCAGCACTGTCTACCTGTCTCGGCGGTGTGAGTGCGAAGAACTGCGTCCTTGCCCTTCTCCTTGACATCTTCTCCTCCTTCTGTCTCTCCTCCGCTTCTGTGTCCGCTGGCTCTGTGTCATCCTCTGCTTCGCTGCTTTCTGGGATCTGGATGCACTCTGCCGCTTCCTCCTCCTTTGCCTCTTGGCATTGTGGGTTGAACGTGACCGTCTTGCTTATCTCCTCTTCCTTGGTTGTGTCGTCGTCCTTACTTCCGCCCTCCTCCTCCTTGGGTCTTCTCCAGTTCCTCTTCCCCTTTCTTCATGTCTGCCGCGTATATCTGAAACAGGGGAGCGGCTCCTATCGTGTATATTGATTCATGTTCTGCCTGCTTCATCTCCTGGCTTTCCCTTTCTGCCTCCTCTTCTCTCCTCCTCAGTTCTTCTTCCTCTTCTTCCATTATTTGCTCCTCTTCTTTTGCTTGTTGTTGTCGTCTCTCCTCCTCCTGTTTTTTTGTTTCCAGCGCCACTCGTGGTCATCTTATTCGCCTATCTCTTGGTACCAGTCTCGTGATCCTTGTGTCTGTGTCTGGGTCCATTCATTTTGAGACCTCCATCTTTGCTGTTCCCAGTCCCACCATGCATCTTCGTCGTCTGATTCTGGCCCGTGCATCGGCATGGCAGGATTGAGCATCTCGCCCGTCCGTTTTTTCATGTTCCTCTGCTGCGTCCTCGTTTTTCTGCTGCTCTTCTGCCATCTCCTG